TTTACGTAAGTAGCAATGCTTTATTTCCATATACAACTCATTTTTTTATCTTTTATGACTGAGTTTTGGATATGGGTGTGTTACAGGCTACTCTTTTTATGTTTTTTGAACTGCTGACAGGCAGTAAAGCTTTTGAAAATGATGGTGAATGACAGTTAAATACCTATGAAATCCATAGTATCACCAATAAAATGCTATCAATTGTTATTGATAGTTTCTTGCTATCCTTTGAAATGGCTGGCACGGGGAAGAATCTGCACACAGGAAGGTAGCTGCTCAGCAGAACAGCTCACATTCAAGAAAGACATACGGGAAAGAACACATAGATAACGAGAGGAATATATTTGGATATTTGCTGTTAACACATTGGTGGAAAATAAAAAATATAACTAATCTTATCCATTGTTATGGAGAGAAGTACCACAGTAATGAGAGGAGAATTATAAGGACAGGACTGCTTTACTGAAACAACTATAAACATCTGACTCTTAGTGCAGCTGGATACCTTCTTGATTTTTTCACATGCAACAGAATTATTGCTCTCCTAAATTAAAGTGTAGGACAAATTAAATCCACTGTGTGGTCAGTGCTAGAAAGCTTTAATGCCTGTTCCTTTTGCTTTGTGGGAAAGCACGTAAATTTGCTGTGGAAATCTTCCTTGTGCAAAAGTAGAGATGAGGCTGGGAAGTCATTCTGCACAAGTGTATCCTGTTTGGGATCTGTAGCACTAATCTGAATTGTAGTACAGTGGCTAATGAAATATAGGCTAAGCAGTAGTTTTAGCTCGGTGTTTTGTACTTCCTAGGTACTAGGGTAGTTACTGGTTCTGTTCTTTTCCTTTCCAGCTCATAGACCCCCTGCTTCTGAAAGCATCAACCACTAGTTTCATAGTGGATGTGGTCCTTTTTATAAGAGACAAGGCAGGCTTTAACAGCTGATAGTCTAAAGTATTGTCTCACTAAGAGAGTCCTTGCAACTGAGAGTGAAATAACTCCCTTTACATTCAAAGAAGGAAATTCACTACACTTACTTTTTTTGACATACCTCTTTGAAGTGCAAGATGGAATGTCAAAAATTAGCTCATATTTTCTTACCTCTTCCCTTCCATCCCTTCCTTTGCGAGACAGTTCTTCACAGAGAATGCTTTTTATTCTGTCCATTGTGAAAACAGATAATGCTTCCAAGCTGCTGCTTCTCCTACCTCACTGTCATCAGGAAAGCTGGAAATAAAAATAAAACCATAAACTTATCATCCATTGATGTTTTAAACATCTTTGCTGTCTGTCAGGAATCCTAACACATACTTTTCATGTCAACTTGTAAGATACTGTAGCCTAGGAAAGGTAATAGTTTTACTCAAAGGATGTATTTTTTCTTAGACTAATACTGCTAGTAAAAATAGCCATGCTTTTGTGCACATGAATCCCTTCTCAGAATGTTTTGATTCCCTACTTATTAGGAAATCATTATGAATGTAATTATACTAATGTAGCTAGTGAATGAATCTTGTTTTAATCATACTTGTGCTTTTAAGTATGGCAGAATCCTGGTCTGGAGAGCAGAGCACAAAGCAGGCAGCATTGTGTTAACAGGCGTTTGCTGACTCTCATTTGGCCTAATGCATTTTTTCCCTTAGCCTAGTAAAATGCCAAAGTTGATTAATGTTGATTAATACTGTTCTTCATAAACTTTTCATGCTGCACAGTTTGATTTTATCCGAGGTATGTCAACTAGTATCATGGGGAGCTTTTTAGGAAAACAGGACTAGAAAGTATCAAATAAGTGCTAATCATCTCAATACGCAAGAAAGAAATTGTTTTCCAATTAGCCTTTAGCTTTTGTCATTCTAGTGCTTTCTGTCTCTGGAGTATAAAATGAACTTTCACCAAATACTGGCTCCTTTCTTCATGTACCAGAGCTAAAATTGTAATGAAAGCCTGTTTGCTTGAATAAAAACCCAACCTCCCTTATGCTTTTAGAAGCAGTTTAGCAGTGCTATCACTTCTACCTTTACCTGTTATTTGAATTTATTGAACTTCATGATTAATTTTCTGGTCATTTGGCAGATGTGAATCCTAGATAGATAGATGTCTAGATAAGCTTTAATTATCATCCCTTTCAGGCATGTTTTTATTACCAAAGCTGCTACATTCCAGGTCTGCGAGAATTAACCTTAGTTGGAAATCCAAACAGGTAAAGCCTTTGGATTTTGAGGAAAATGAGAGGTCACCCCAGGGTTTTCTTTCTTTTGCCAACAGAGAGGCCACAACTTAAACTGGCTGTAGTGAAAGAAGGAGCTCAGTCATGGGCTGGTTTTGCGTGGATGGATGTTACCTTGAGAACCTCCCACTCGTGTGATACTTTGGGAAAAACTTAAACAGTTCCTCTCCAGTGATGCCCCTCTGCCTCCAAAACCCTCTCTCCTTATTTTTATTCAAAGATCAATTTAACCCCATCTTATGATAATGTTCATGACAAAATAGTCATCTTCCTCTTATTTAGTGCTGCTACCCACTGCATTTATCTGAGTTACCCACTCCTTGCATTTTGCCTATGGCTCTCACTCTGAGCTTTCCGTGGCAGCAGTCTGCTCTCTCTGCTTTTTTTTTCTATCAATACCTGGGGCACTAGATGCTTCATACATGACTAGGACATTATTACTACTTTTAGTAATGAATAATGAATTGAGAGACAGAATTACATAGTAGAAGCCATTTTTAAAAAAAAAAAAAAAGGCAAACAATAATTTCTATCTTGTATAAAATCAGCAGAATTGGAACTTTCAAGCTGACACTACAATAGGACTACAATATATTCCTGAGATCTGGTACAGGATACCCTGTACCAACTCTGAAGGACAATCTTATGACTGAATAAAAAAAAAAGATAAATCATACGGGAGTTAAGAACACTGGTGTTTCTTCTGAAGCAGCTTGAGTTTCAGAAACGTAGGAGGGTTTGGGGAAGAGGGATTAGCAAGGCAGCAAACATGGAAGGATGCCTATAAATATACCTATAAAAACTTAAAGGGTGGGTGTCAAGAGGATGGGGCCAGTCTTTTTTCAGTGGTTCCCAGGGATAGGACAAGAGGAAATGGGCACAAACCTGAACATAAGAAGTTTTATCTAAACATGAGGAGGAACTTCTTTACTTTGAGGGTGATAGAGCCCTGGAACAGGCTGCCCAGAGAGGTGGTGGAGTCTCTGCTCTGGAGACATTCAAAACCCGATGGACATGTTCTTGTGCAACCTGCTCTAGGAGGACCTGCTTTGGCAGGGGGGTTGGACTAGATGATCTCCAGAGGTTCCTTCCAACCCCATATCATTCTGTGATTCTGTGAAGGACATGTGATAATGTTCTAAGCACCTTCTGTGTCAATACGAGCCTGTACTTTGTGTTGAATAATGTCTATATACTCATTATTGTGGATTTTGAAACCCATATAGTATCTGACAACTCAGAACAGTTAAAAAGAAAGCAAAGTGCACAAGTTGAGGGACAATTTTTAATACCAATGAAGGTATTAAATACCAATGAATGGCCTGTAAATCTTGTACAGTTTTGGTAGGATTTTTGAAAATTAGCTGTACAACTGCTATGCTGTTGAAAACAAAATCAGCGCCTCTTAATTAATTTACTGCCCAGTTACTTAGAAACATTGGTCATACAGGTCAAGAAGCAAACAGAAATGTATAACTGAAGAACTCTCATTATACAGGAATTTTTAGCTTCTTTCAAAAATTCCTCCTTTGAGTTTCAGCTGACTAACTGAACAACAATCAAAATTGAATTTTCAAATTCAGACAGAAAATATTGACTAAGTTTAAGATCAAGTAAAGACTTTTACCTACACCTTTAGTTCAGCATGTCACACTTAGTTCAGCCAGAATATTTCAAACTGAGCATGTAAACAGAATTGCAAGAATAAGACATGATAAAGTTTTTAGAATTGATCATATTTACAATCTTATGAACTGTATGTCTGTGTATAATTCCTCTGGACAAAACATCCCAAGCCCTAAAAATCATGCTTATCAAGTATCCCGTTCAGGGGATCATAGAATAGTTTGGGTCGGAAAGGACCATTAAAAGTCATTTAGTCCAACCCCCCTGCAATAAGCAAGGACACCTTCCACTAAATCAGGTTTCTCAGAGCCCCATCCAACCTGACCTTGAGAGTTTCTAGGGATGGTGCATCTGCCACCTCTCTGGGCAACCTGTGCCAGGGTTTCATCACCCTCATTGTAAAAAATTTCTTCCTTCTATCTAGTCTGAATCTACCCTACTCTAGTTTAAAACCATTACCCCTTGTAATATCACTACAGGCCTTACTAAAAGTCTGTCCCCATCTTTTTTATGAGCCCCTTTTAAGCCCCCTAAGTTTCCCCAGGCTCTTCTCCAGGCTGAACAACCCCAATTCTCTCAGCCTTAAAACAGAAAACTAACCGATGTTAGCCTTCCATCGGTGTTCAGCCAATGGTGTTTACAGAACACCTACATGCCAGGGCCTCTCCCACATTGCATTTCAAAATACAACCTGGATACTAGCTCCTCAGTCTGATGAGAGAAGGCAAATCAATCTCTCACCACCCAGGCTGGTTTAGGAATAAGGCTGAACCTCCTCCATACCCCCAGCAGCTACAACACCCATGGTGAGCCCCCGCTCCTCTAACCCAAAAAGTTTTTGCTAATGGTACTCCCTGAGCAGAGAAAGGCTTTGGAATTGGCTAGTGTCCTCTTCAGCACAACTTAAGGACTTCCCCCTTCTTCTGTGAAGATACTGATCATATCCATGGAGAGCAGGAAAATGTGGGGGCTCTAGAGAAAAGACCAATGTTTTTCTATCTACTGCAGACAGATCATTCACATCAGTAAAATCAGTAAAATTTCATTGACTGTAGTTGACATCAGGGTATGGACAGTACTGTGTAAACTACGGATAACCCTCTTATATGACAAATGAGAGTAACAAATGAAGAAAACTAACTTTTACCCATAAATACCTAGCATTCTTCAAATCACTCGTGCACAAGTATCCAACTAAAAGAAATTTACTTGGAGTAGAAAATAAACACATATAGAGTAAGGAAAATCCTCCTGAAAGAAACCAAAAGAAAACGTAGGTGACATTATACAATATAATTATCTTTCTCAGTTTGGATAGGAGAAAACTGGGAAAGAACCAAGACTGCACGAGTAAACCAGTCCACGATGGTTTGATAGCATTCAGTATAGGACTTTCCCTATAGTACAGGGAGTCACAAATTATTACAGTGTAAAGTTTTGTCCTTTCTCAACAGGAATTTGAGGCAAAATGCCTCCAGGAAGAGTCCTACAGGGCACATTTCTTGCCGGTTGTACATCTGAGTTGATCCATCAAGCGTCTGAGTACTGAAGGTTTTCAGCCAAGAACATGTTTAGCATTCTCTCCATTCACTGATCCATAAGAGAATACTTTGAAGTTCCTTTCATGTCAGCTACATAAAGATGTTTTCCAAGTAAATGTTTCAACTTGGGACAAAAATAATGGAAAGAATTAGTTACACTGGATTTCTCCCTTATACAAAACATTATAAAGCAGATGTTAGCCTTACCTTTTCAGGAAAGAATTACACTTAGCATGCTTGAATGATGAATCTACCAACTCATTTACTCTTGTAGTTGCTATGAGGAAGGAAATGGGAGTAAGTATAATGAGACCCTTAGTGAAAGACATTTTGTGGTGATATATAAAACCAGGTTACACCACCACTGTTTCCTTGGGAACTCCTCTTGTCTAACAAAACTGGAAAGGAACAGAAGAAAAAAAAAAAAGGATGTCAGAAAACTTATATTAATAACACTGCTGTGTTATGTGTCAGTGCATTTAGATGACTTAGAGAAGCCACCAAAAGAAAGCATCCTGTACCTTGATTCACGGGAGTGAATTTTCAGTTGCAGATTATACAGTGGAAGAACAATTCCAACAGAAGAATGTAAAACAGGGATGGAAATCTGGTTTTTCAGAGTATTGTGGTGAGTTCAGAACAAGAGCTGAGATGAACAGGAAGGGCAGGTACCTGGAGACAGGAGGAAGTGAAGGTCAGAATTTATAGCTGTTTTGTTACTGAGGGAATTACAAAAGAACGGTCCTTAAAAATACATTTTGTAAATGCTCATACTACATGATAGTATTTTGTCCTGTTGGTTGACTGTAGATTATTGTTGACACTGTTACTCTGGAGTAGGTAGAGAGGTCTATGCTCTGAGTATGTTTTCATCAGTATGTCACCTGGGTAATGTAAATAACAGTAACAGCAGGAGACAATTCTGTGCAGGCAGACGGGAATGTGAACAAATACAATTTAAATTTAATTGCAGGAAAATGCGAGGAATGATAGGTGGAACTGATGGGAAGAAAGGAAGGTAGAAGCACAGAAAGGTCAAGTTGAACCATTTCTTCAGTGAGTCACAGGATGTCTTCTGCTCTGAATCTGCTCTCTCTTTTCAAAGCAAATAGTTAGATAATATAAAGGGATTACAGTTCCCGTCCCTCGATTTGTTTGTTTATAGTTACCTGCTTAATGGTACAGGATTTATGGGGAACAGGGCAAATACCAAGGAGGAAAGAAAGCTCTTGAAATTCTACAGTCGTACTGGGAGCAGGTATTTGTAATTTGTGGATGAAAAATCACAGGCGTGTTTAAATGATTACAGAAGCAGGCACTGCAAATCCAGAAAGTTCAGAGGTAAATATCCATCAGAAAGAAATTCAGATGAATAAAGCAAGGCACGGAGAACTGTAGTGATGTCTTGTAACCAAAACTATGGTTGGAATACTGTTAGTGTTTATGGTTGAGATGTGGCATAAAATATTTTTGAAACAACTGTGTAACCTGACAGGGTGGAGGGATTGTTTTCAAGTGGTCTGGTTCTTTTTAATTATTCTTAGAAGCAATTGAGTGATTTCTCTCTTTCCTCACTTCCCCAGAATAAAGCGTAGTTTCCCAAAGAGATCAGTCCAGCTAATTCTTCCATTCAACATTTATAGATTGATAAGGACTGTACTATCTTTGGGAATCTGATGACACACAGTTCTACATTTCCTCCTCTTTTTGTCTTGGATGCCAGATTTATCTAGTGCCTGGAAGAAACAAGGAACTGGGTGAGAGCCAGTTGGCTGGAATCCAGTCTGAAAGGTGAAGGTGATGTGGACTGGAAGAGCAGAGTGCTTTCAGGACTTGATGAAAAATCATGTAGTTTATTTTACAAGGGTGTCTGCTGAAATATAGTCTGCTCAGTTTCTATACAATGGTTTATGTATAATAACAAAGGTGTATTATACATAATTTTACATCAGGAAATGGAACGGGCTCCTTTCAGCTAAGGATACCAATGACATTTCTTAGACAAAACTAAAATGTGATGAATATATGTGCATGACAATAGGTATGGGTTGCTATTAAGACTTGCTTTACCACAGCCAACCTATCATGTCACTCTGGTGATCTGTTCCTCCAGAACTTGTTTTCCCAAAGGGATGATGTCTTCAGCCCAACATCGAATGCAGAACTCTTTAGCTAAAGAAGGTACATCCTAGATTTTATTCTTTGTGGAAATACAGGTAATGAGGACCAGGATACTTTCAGGAAGATGGCATTTTTTTCTCAGGCCTTTATACCTGGCTATATGTTGGTATCACAGTCCATTAGAAATAGTGCCAGCTCCAGAAATGTGTGATCTGTGGTGGAGATTTCAAACTGTCGAAACCAAACGTTACAAAAGGACTTTTTTATTGCTACATACACTTGTAAGATATCCAGTGCTGATGTGAAATAGGAGTTATGTCTCATGATATGAGAGAACAGCGTTGTCTGTACTTACTGTCTGTAAAATAGATTGCAAATCCACAGATCTGGATTGAATAGTTTCTTTGGCATTCTTGCACAGGTTATTTCCCATTTATTTGGGCTGGATGGCATTTCGAGCATTGTCCCTAAATGACTTCTTGCCATCAAAATGACTGCTGAGGTGGGGGATTCACAGGTAGCAAAAGCATTTTGAAAGGTTTATTCCACCCCCGCCTGGTTTCCAGGGCGGGAGGAGGACTTTTCTTCTCTCATTGGTGTCATGTTCCCTCTCTCCTGGCTTGGAGGAATCTGTCCAGGCAGACGCTGGGGCAAATTTCACACCCTGCGGTGGCTGAAGGGCGCTCCCGTCGGACTTTCCGCGGGCGGTGATGGAGCAGCATCTCCCTTGGGCTGGTCCCTCCGGCCCGGGGGGAGCCGGGGTCGCTCCCCGCCCCGTCGCTCTCTGTTTCTCAGCCTAAACCGTGGACCGCCCCGTCGGGCCTCGAGGGGACGGGGCTGGGGCGGCCCCAGCCTTTCCCTCCGCCGCCTCCTCCTCCCGGGGACCGGCGCTCCCCCCGCCACCTCTTTCGCGCTGGGGCTTCTCTCGGGGCCGGGCCCCGCCGAGCGGATGCCCCTCTCCGCGCCCCCCTACACCGTCCCCGGGCAGCCCCGGCGGCGGGAGCAGCGGGGGCGGCGGCAGCATCTCCCCGCCCTCCCCTCCCTTCCCCTCCTCGCCCGCCCATTCCTTCATGCTCCCTTCATCCTGCTTCTGAGGATGAAGGTCTGAAGGCAGCAAAAGATCTTTGATAAGAACGTGTGGGCATCACCAGATAGAGACGCAATGTATTTCTCCCTACAAAAGGGTTTGGTCAGGTAGCAAAGAGGTTTACATTTTCCTCTTTAAGCTATTTTGTGACGAGTGAAGCAAAGCTGGGACATCTTTGCATATGCTCCTCATCCAAAAAAAAAACCCATGACCTAAAGCAATGGAGTTAAATAGTTGCTGGATATGAAATCCCAGGCAGTAGCAGTGCAGACTTCAGGGCAATAGCAGATGAGTATATGAAAGCCTTAGGTGCTGCATAGGGTGGACAAAGTCACAGGAGGCAACTTTCTGACTGGAAATGAGAAACAGTTCCTTGTGAGAGAAGCAAGCAGCCTTGTGCCCAACATGTCCTTGTTGCCTTCGGGATGTGAGTCAGCAGTGTTGTCCCTAGCTGGCCTGCAGTTGTCTGCTACTATGGGCTAGAGGCAGCTCTTCTGTAAATCTTAGGCTGCATCTGCTGAAGGATAGAAAGAATTTACGTTTTTCTTCTGTAACAGAAAGGTTGAGGTGTTGAGCAATGGAAGTGCTCCCAGTGATAGCCAGGTCAGCAGAATCTGACTGTCTATTTTGAAATGAGATTGTCAATGTTCTGCTGCAGACAATGGCATAAATGACATTTTATTTTTTTTTTTTGTATTGCAGTGGGTTGTCTTTGAAGTCAAATCAAATGTCTCATCTGTTGGTCAATAAAGGGCAACAAAGCTGGTGAAAGGGCTGGAAGAAATGTCCAATGAGAAGTGGCTAAGGACTTTGGGCTTGTCTAGTTTGGAGAAAAGAATGACGAGGGGTGACCTCATTGCTCTCTACAGCTTCCTGAGGAGGGGAGTGGAGAGGGAGGTGCTGATCTCTTCTCTCCTGGATCCAGTGACAGGATGGATGGGAACGGTTCAAAGCTGTGTCAGGGAAGTTTATACTGGATGTTAGGAAGCATTTATTTACCAATCACTGGAACAGACTTCCTAGAGAGGTGGTCGATGCCCCAAGCCTGTCAGCTTTTAAGCAGCATTTGGACAATGTCCTTAATAACATGCTTTAACTTTTGGTCAGCCCTGAAGTGGTCAGGCAGTTGGACTAGATGATCATTTTAGGTCCCTTTCAACTGAAATAGTCTATTCTGTTCTGTTCTACAAAAGATATCATTAGTATAAGCTTGCAACATGCAGACTGGATCCATGATCCGTATAGTGAGGGAAAGCAAGGAGGGAAAGCTCCTAGGTCACTGCTGTAAAGAATTATTTCCTTGGAGAAGGCAGGTTGCCAGTTTTATTGAAACTAGATCACCAGAAAAGTAACCCGCTTTTGATGCTAACTTGTGAAATGTTGACTTGTCCCACACCCCTTTTGGGGTCCAGTGATTTTTACGTAAGTAGCAATGCTTTATTTCCATATACAACTCATTTTTTTATCTTTTATGACTGAGTTTTGGATATGGGTGTGTTACAGGCTACTCTTTTTATGTTTTTTGAACTGCTGACAGGCAGTAAAGCTTTTGAAAATGATGGTGAATGACAGTTAAATACCTATGAAATCCATAGTATCACCAATAAAATGCTATCAATTGTTATTGATAGTTTCTTGCTATCCTTTGAAATGGCTGGCACGGGGAAGAATCTGCACACAGGAAGGTAGCTGCTCAGCAGAACAGCTCACATTCAAGAAAGACATACGGGAAAGAACACATAGATAACGAGAGGAATATATTTGGATATTTGCTGTTAACACATTGGTGGAAAATAAAAAATATAACTAATCTTATCCATTGTTATGGAGAGAAGTACCACAGTAATGAGAGGAGAATTATAAGGACAGGACTGCTTTACTGAAACAACTATAAACATCTGACTCTTAGTGCAGCTGGATACCTTCTTGATTTTTTCACATGCAACAGAATTATTGCTCTCCTAAATTAAAGTGTAGGACAAATTAAATCCACTGTGTGGTCAGTGCTAGAAAGCTTTAATGCCTGTTCCTTTTGCTTTGTGGGAAAGCACGTAAATTTGCTGTGGAAATCTTCCTTGTGCAAAAGTAGAGATGAGGCTGGGAAGTCATTCTGCACAAGTGTATCCTGTTTGGGATCTGTAGCACTAATCTGAATTGTAGTACAGTGGCTAATGAAATATAGGCTAAGCAGTAGTTTTAGCTCGGTGTTTTGTACTTCCTAGGTACTAGGGTAGTTACTGGTTCTGTTCTTTTCCTTTCCAGCTCATAGACCCCCTGCTTCTGAAAGCATCAACCACTAGTTTCATAGTGGATGTGGTCCTTTTTATAAGAGACAAGGCAGGCTTTAACAGCTGATAGTCTAAAGTATTGTCTCACTAAGAGAGTCCTTGCAACTGAGAGTGAAATAACTCCCTTTACATTCAAAGAAGGAAATTCACTACACTTACTTTTTTTGACATACCTCTTTGAAGTGCAAGATGGAATGTCAAAAATTAGCTCATATTTTCTTACCTCTTCCCTTCCATCCCTTCCTTTGCGAGACAGTTCTTCACAGAGAATGCTTTTTATTCTGTCCATTGTGAAAACAGATAATGCTTCCAAGCTGCTGCTTCTCCTACCTCACTGTCATCAGGAAAGCTGGAAATAAAAATAAAACCATAAACTTATCATCCATTGATGTTTTAAACATCTTTGCTGTCTGTCAGGAATCCTAACACATACTTTTCATGTCAACTTGTAAGATACTGTAGCCTAGGAAAGGTAATAGTTTTACTCAAAGGATGTATTTTTTCTTAGACTAATACTGCTAGT